CAAGTCGCATTTGTTGTAAATTTGAACGTTCTCGGAAAAAAAATAAAAAAATTGAACGTTCTAACTTTTTCTTTCCTTAAAAGTTAAAAAAATAAAGAGTTGGTGTGGCATTCTGAGCCACACGGGCCCCAGGTAGGGCCCGGTTCCAGATAGGCAGGGTAGGCCTAAGGGACGACGGTTCAGATAAGGCCTAGAAAGGCCTGGACCACGGCGGTCCAGACAGGCCAGGGGTAAAAGCCCAGGCCAACGGCCACAAGGCCGGTACCGGTCCAGCATAGGACCTACCGGCGGCGCAGTTTCAGAGGCTGCCAGTTTAGGCGCCAACCAGTTTTAAAACTGGACCGTTGATCTAGATCAATGGTCCAGGCCGGTAGGTACCAGCAGGTAGGAGGCCGGCCCAGCACTACAAAAGGCTGGGTACCAGCCTCAGTAGGGAGGTTAGAAGCTAGAGGTTAGTAGCGTTAGCGCTAGTCTTCAGGATTAGCGCAGTGTTAGCGCAGCACCAGCAACGCGAGTCGGAGCAGCAAGGAGACAGCGAGCGCAGCAGCACGGAGCAACAGCGCAGCGGCCCTGCCGCGCCATAGCTACCGGTTCAGGTACCAGGGAGGAAGGCTTGCCTTCTCTCCCTCTGTTCCTCTGGCCCCGCTCTCTCTCTCTCTCTCTCTCTCTCTCTCTCTCTCTCTCTCTCTCTCTNCTCTCTCTCTCTCTCTCTCTCTCTCTCTCTCTCTCTCTCTCTCTCTCTCTCTCCCCTCCTACCTTCTCAGTCTCAGTCTACTTCTGAGTTCTCCTACGGGACTACAGCAGTATGAGGGATGGTTACGAATTCTGATAACATGGGGAACAGCGACATTGCGACTACGAGTTGAGGACTACTTGGGGATCTGATTTCATCTTCCTTCTGGAGATGTACTTGACATTGTGAGATTGATATCTGAGATATTGCGAGACTTGGCATTCACGACATTTCGGATTTTCGTCACTTCTACCATTTCAAGATACTATCTTTGGAAACATTGAGTTGACGTCATCTTCCCCTCTCCTCCTCCTTTCGTCTCTCTCCTCTCTCCCTTCGTCCGTGGATGATCTCAGTCCCTGGCCCTTCGTCTATGTCTACGGCCAGGGCTTTCACACCCCTGATGAATGTTTGAGAGTGTTCAATTGCCGTCCGAGTCAGGTCCGAGTCAGTCCAAGGTATCTCAAGTCTTCCGCTTGCATTTGTATTAACTCTGTATTATCTCGTCGGTTCTGGGAATCTGCGCCATACTTATGACTGTGTTTCACGAGTATGCAACAGTTGGTTAGGAAAAAAAAAAGACGAGTCGATGACATAGATAAGCGTACCGGTTTGGAATCCTGAGTGTGAACACTTAACTTTCAAGACATTGGGCCCCGCTCCACTGCACAGCATTCCAAATGTATATGGAGCTGATTGCGGTCCCAATACACGAGAGATGGTTAAAGGGGCGCCAAATATTCACCGTTTTCGCCGGCATCAGTGCAAAATTCGTCGAAAATAACACCCCTGGTTAACCACATTGCAGATGACAGTGCGAAATTCCCGGAGACCCTTGCTACGACAATCACTTGAACCGGACAGCAGTTTAAGGAACCGCTAGAGCCAGAGCTTCTGTCCAGAAGCTAGCATCCAGAGAACTAAAGGAACAAGCCTTCAGGAAGAAAACAGCGCCTTCTGAAGCCACCCTGCAATCCCTTTCGAAGAGCGTTGACTCCCGTCGAGATGCTAGTGAAATAGCATCTTGATTCCACCGGTGAAGTGGGTGCTGATGGAGGCCATCATACAATGCATCGGGTGAGAGTCGAGAGATGAGGTTGTAACTTGTAAGTTATAAGCCATTATACAGAGCGCTAGGAATGAACCAGCACAACAAAATTGCAGTTGGTCGACTAAATCCCACTGAGCTCAATATAGCTATTCATTTGCCAATTCAACTCACCGCTTCCCAATGAGCATGCCTGCCCACACTGCGTCCCCCTTCTAAGTCCCTTTTAGCTTCCATTTCAAGACGACAAATCATCTCCAAAACGAGGCGATGAAGAGAGAGGCCACCATGCTCATCAGCATAGGCCTTCTTTTTCCCCTCTCCCCCTCGATAGACCGCAGGCCTTCCCCTGCAGGCGAACCTCCCCCCTCCTCTCCCCCTACCTCCACCCCGCCTCCTGCTCAACCCTCCTCTAACCCCCCTCTCCCATGCGGGGATGTCACTTGTGCTCTCTCGCCCTTGTCCCCTTCATGGTGCTTACGCCCTTGTACTCCCACAACCACCTTCTTCCCTTGTCGACTCGAATGAAGAAGCAGCACACAGCAGATTGCTACAATAGGACAACGAAGTTTCCTCTGGCAAAGCTGCAGTGGCCCTGCAGACAGCATTTAAAGCTCATTAGTGCCCCAGGATCCAGCACAGAGCAGGCTTCAGGAGTTGAGTCACACGCCGCTGAATCACATGTTGGAGAACGAAAAAAACACGCAATCTACGACAACTGGAGAGTGCTGACACACTCTTCCTGGCTTTTCGCAGTCCGTTCCTAGTGTGGATCTGCACACACGTTGCACGTAGTGCTCGTTCCATGTCTGCTGGTTTACGTCTTGTTGACCTTTGTTTCCATCATCCAGGTTTATTCCTACCTCATGGTTTAGGGCCCTGTTTCAAGGTCTGCAGTTTCCGTGTCTGCTCTTTTTTTTTTTTTTTTTTTAATTTAACAATGTGCAATCAGACTCATTCTCATTCACACTTTTCATGCACGTAAACAGCAGCACAGCAAACTGGCGTGCGCCCACTCAAAACTCAGAGATATGGCTTCCAGATACGAGTTCACTCTCAACTGGCTATGGCGACTCAGCGCCCAAACAACTCACTGTTCACATACACTGGATCACCCTGGATATCCCACACGCATCACTCTGAACACTCGAACACACAATCACACACTTCCTACTAACTACAGCTATGGCAGCTATGGCTGCCTCTACCCTATCGCTATACTAAGCTCCTCTCTCGCCCACTGCGTCCTCCGGGCTCATCTGCAGACCTCCTTGCACAAGTCGCTGTGGCAGCGCTTCCGCATGGCTCACGCAGGAATSAATGAAAGGCTGGGCGCTGCCTCTTGATTTATACTTCGGAAACTTGTTGGTCTGCCCTTTGCCATCGGCCCATGGTGCTCACAGTCCCCCGTGGTACTTGCTGGACCGGACTGGGACTGACTGGACCTTACCGCCGACTGACTGTGGACTCACTGCTATCCTACCGTCGTCATACTGCAATTGCACTGCAGCTTAGTCCACCACTTGCCTCGCCACTTGACTACTTGCCCACTTGCCCACTTGCCTACCTTCTAGAAGGACTACAGCTAAGCTTCTGGAACTCACTAAGACTTCTACTCTATAGATCTACAGATCGAACCCCTGCTACCTACGGACCTATGACAGACCTATCAACTGTCTACGAATACACAGGTCACAGGTTCAACTCTCGGGGTCTACACGGATACTGTACATGGGGAAGGCAAGGTCTAGGGATCGTACCCTGGGTACTGCATCTGTTACTGCTGAGAGGTGAAAACCGTTTCACTCCCGCCATCCTAAATTCGAGGTCCTCCGAGAACATCTTAGTCCAAGGCGAGACCTTTACCTTTCCTGTCACGCTCATAAGCTCTGACTACGTCGGGAGCTGTCTGTAGAAGTTCTGTTCTTGGGAACCAGCGGTTGTCCTCCGGTTCTTGATAGGCAAACCGGACCTTATACTGCTTCTGGGGACGACCTCTACCTCCTGTTCGAAACACATCCTCGTCTACAATACCTTCACTGTCATAATTTCCATCCATATCCGGAGGAATCATAGATCGTCTTGAAGGGAACTGTTGGCTTGTGACACACGGCAACAACTTTGAAGCGTGGAACACAGGATATGTGTGGAGGTGTAATGGGATTTGTACAGTGTAGGACGGTCCATCTTCTCCGCCCTTGACTTCTAGAACCGGCCACGGTCCTCTATATGCAGGCAGTAACTTCTGCGAGATGTTTTCCTCAGGTGCAAGCTCTTTAGCCTTGACCCAGACTAAGTCGCCTACCTGAAACTGCGAAGGGTGGCGGTGCTTATTAGCCTGCTCTATCATTCTGTGCTGGGCCTTCCTGAGGTTTTCAACAACAGTTGCTAATTCTTTTCGTGCTGTATTGCAAACTCCCTGGTACCGGGCGGTAATCTGTGAATCTGATCCCGGTTCAGTCCTTCGAACGGTCTGCGTGGTCTAAAGGACATGTGCAGCTCATTGGGAGTGCCGCAGGTGGATAGATGTACGTTGTTGTTGTATGCACTAGCTACCTTGGGCAACATCTCATCCCAGTTGATCTGGTCTGGTCTAATGTACATGCGCAGAACTTGCTGTAGGATCTTATTCATCTGTTCAGTCTGACCGTTAGCCTTTGGGTGGCGGCCGGACGACATTAACAACTTAGATCCGGAGACTCTCATGAGTTCTTGCCAGTTCTGGCTGGTGAAGCGACTATCTCTATCGCTAACTATTGACAATGGGATTCCATTCTCACTAACCCAAGAGTCAAAGAACTTTTGTATAACTAGGTCTGTACGTGCCTCTGCAGGCAAAAGAACAAAAACTGCATACTTACTAAAACGGTCGACTATAACCATGACTTGGATCTTACAATGTCTACTCTTGACTTGGGTGTCCATAAAGTCTATGGACACTCAGTCTCCCGGCTGATCCGGAATAGGCAAGGGTCTGAGAAGACCTAGGGGCGCGCATGTAGTAGTCTTATTTCTCTGACACACTTTACAACTGCGGACATACTCTATGCAATCATTCTTCATCCCTGGCCAGGTGTACGCACGCATCAGGTTGGCTAAAGTCTTTTGCCAACCGAAATGTCCCTCAGTATCGTGGCATTCCCCTAGGATCAGACTACGAATCTCTTCGCTGTTGGGAACGCACAGGCGGTCAAATACGTTAGTCTTCTCAAACAGCAACCCATCTGTAGTGCGGTAATCTGGCTCAGTCTCTGAGGGCCTCTCTAACTCTCTTTAGGAGGTCGCTCTAGATAGGGTCCTGCGCATATGCTTGCTTCACTTTCTCCTGCAGGTCTCTCCCTATATCCAGATAGTGTACTATGGCTCCAAAGTAGTCTGATCTCCTACTCAGAGCGTCCGCAACTACGTTGTACTTGCCCTTCACTGGCTTAAGCTCAAAGTCATATTGGTCTATCTCTGCGGCCCACCTAGTCAACTTCGGTGTCATCTTGGCCTGGGTCTTTAACCATCTAAGCGTTTCGTGGTCAGAATACACTTTAAAGTGCCTCCCAAGCAGGTAATGCTTCCAGTGCTCTAAAGCCTGCCTGAGAGCGTAGAGTTCTCTCTCGTACGTCGAGGTGGCTACCTTCTCTGAGGGCATCCTCGCGGACATGAACTCTACGGGTCTATAGCCATTGTCGTCGTCTTGCTGCAACACGGCGCCTATCCCATACCGGCTTGCGTCCGTGGTGATGACAAAAGGCAAAGACGGATCAGCTACTTTGAGGACAGGGTACTTTATTAACGCGCGCTTTAACTTTTTGAGCGCAGATGTACAATCTTTATCCCATTGCCAGATTGCCTCTTTCTTAAGCAACCGGCGCAGGGAAGCAACGATAGTGGAGAAGTTCCTGACGAACTTTCTATAATAATTAGCTAGGTCTAGCAACGACCACAACTCTATCAATGTGTGGGGCGTCGGCCAGTCTCTAATCGCCGCGATCTTGCTGTCCTCTGGCTTGATGCCATCTCCGTCTAGTACGTGGCCCAAGTACAAGACTTGTGTCTTGGCCCACTCCCACTTCTTAGGATTGATCTTGAAGTCAGCCTCCCTCAGCTTCTCCAAGACCTGCCTCAGATGACCCTAGTGCTCCTGGAGGGTCTTACTAAAAACTAAGATATCATCTAAATAAACTACTACAAACCTGTCTAACCATGGCCTAAACAGGTCATTCATACAACGCTGAAAAGTAGCTGGCGCGTTGGTTAGTCCAAAGGGCATCACTATAAACTCATAGTGCCCATAACGAATCCGCAACGCAGTCTTGTACTAGTCATCAGGATGGACCTCTATCTGATGGTATCCGGACTTCAAATCTATCTTGGAGAAATACTTGCAACCCTGCACCCGATCTAAAAGATCGTCTATCCTGGGCAGCGGTTCAACATTCTTTACAGTAATCGCATTCAAACCCCTATAGTCTATACACATTCTAAAGTCTCCTCCCTTATTGGGGACAAACAAAACTGGTGCTCCAAAAGGAGACGAGTTGGGCATGATCCAACCTTTCTCTAGGAGCTCGTCTAACTGCTTGCGCAGCTCCTCTAACTCTCTAGGGGACATCCTGTAGACTGCTCCCTTAGGAGTTCTACTGCCAGGCTCTATTTCTATCCTATGCTGGATGGGTCGCGACACTACTCTTGTCGACGACTCAGTTAAGTCTTTGAACTCTTCCAGCAGCTTGGCTATGGTTGGATCTGTGGAACTCACTTCTTCCTTAGCCTCAGTTGCAAGTCTAACATAAACTACAAAGACCTGTTCCTCTAATCGCTCCTTTTTCACTAATCGTGCGAACGCGGGAGCACTGAGACAGCAATGTGCCAAGGTGTTATCTACACCTGACACATGAAACAGGCGGGCAGTCTTAACATCGCCTGATGGACTAGGGAGCCTACACTCATGCTGTCTCAAGTGGAGTGTGGCTCCTGCTGCCTCTCCCCAATCCATTCCCAATACTACATCGAAAGGAAGGTCATCCTGCACGAGGAGAATCGGGGAATGGATAACTTTCTCCACCTTCCCATCCTTCTCTAGGCGAAAGTACGCCTGGACCTCCTCTACATAGTCCTCAACACGCATTGTGCGGTTGTCTGCAAGGACACTGACTATGGGGCTGTCAAGTTCTAGATTTTTAATCCTAACTTTAACTTCTTCAGCGCCCTACGGCTAATATAGCTGCGGGTGGTCCCTGAGTCTATAAGGGCCCCTACTCTACTCCTGAAAACTTCTACATCTACCAAAATCAGCTATCCTTTGCTCTTTTCTTCATCTTGGCCCAAGCTGGCATCCTCTCCTTTAACTCTTCTGCCACACCTGTGAGGGACGTGCCTAAAAAGACGCTAACACAGGCGGTCTCTGGACAGCTAGCTAGGCACGAGCCTGCAACCTCTGCCATAGGCTCATGTGGGTTGGGAAAGTCTTGTTCGCGCGCACTCACTTCTCCACATGGCCTTGAAGTAGGAGCAGTTGCGACCCCTACTGGCGGCTGCCTTTTGACGATTGAGCAGCCCAACGGGCCTGTCTATACTTAGGACAAAATTTAATGACATGGGCCGGGTCACGTCACCACAGAATATGCACTGACCCTGGTCCACGCGCTCCTACCATATGCGCTGGTTCAAGCCCAAATCTTCCCAGGGCCTGCCCTGTGGCAAGCTTGGGTGCCATCCTCCCTGAGGTGGTCTTCTACCTCCTCGCCGTGGGGACTGATTTGAACCCTGGCGATTTGGCGGGGGACCTTGACCCCTACCTCCCACTTGGCGGTTTCCCTGTCCGCCAACCCCCTGTGCGCCCGGTCCTCGACCTCCCATGGCCTGGCCCCTTTGGCCCTGGCCTCCTCCTCTACTTTGCGGCCTCCCTCTAGCCGCGACAGCAGCATAGGACCTCCCTTGACCCATACTACTGTCTTCTTCCTCTAGGCCCCACTCAATTTGACTATATGGGACCTCATCGGTACCACCTTCCTCTAAGGTAAGGATCATATAATCCTTGGCCCTCACCTGGCCTAAGATGGTACGGCCCTTCCACTTCTTTCCCTTATCTAAGTCCCTGTGCCAGAAAGTGGTGACTGGCATGGACTTTGACTCATACAGGACGACTTCTCTACTCAACGCATCGTAAGTGATGCCGGCCTGTTGAGACTTGTCAAAGAAATGCCCACGTAGGGCCTCTGCCATGGCACGATAAAATAACTGGACCAATTGGGTCTCAGTGACCCCATGGTCTGGGACGGCTACCAAGTCGTCCATAGTACCCTTGAGTGCTCTTGCACGCCTCCACTGTCGTGAGTGGATCGTCTGTAACTTATCTAAGGCTCTAACGCCTCGCGTTGGGTCAGCAAATCGCTCCTTGAGGAGCTTGAGGAATGGGAAAGGGGGGTGACTTTTGAATATGCAACCAGGTTGTTTTCACAACCGGTTGCGCGCGCAAGGGACCTGGCAAAGCTAGCTGCCTCATCCTTAAGGGCCTTGAAGGCCACGAGGACTTGTTCCTCTATCAGGATGTGTTGTAGATATATATAGCTATTGACACTGGCTTCCCAATTGTCAAAGTTTTCCTCCCTCTTACCCCCGTATGCGTCTGGGAACTTAAGCTTAACTGGGTCCTTACGGGGTCTGGCCTCGCCTTCTACAACGGCTATGGCTTTGGCACCCTCAATGGCGCCCTCACAAAACTTCCATACGTTGTCCCTCAACTGTTTTACTTCGCCCCCAATGTGGGTGACGATCTCGCACGCAAAGTCCCTGAACCCCGACCGCATGGCACTTAACGCTACGTCTTGGCTCCAACTGGCCTGGCGCTCCTCCATCCAGGCTTTGCTCAACACTCTAGGTACCCCAGTACCTTATCCCACTTGGCCTTATCATCCGGCTGGCCCAATACCTCCTGCACCTTTGCTACCTCTGCGGTCATTTTGTTCACTTCCTCTCTCCTCCTCTTCTTCTCCCTCTTCATCCTTAGGTTCCATGCCAATTTCTGCTCCTCCTCCCTTTCTCGCCGTTCCATTGGATCTGTCATTGCTGCTAGCTCACTGGCTAGCGCAGCCTCTTCATCTTCAGTCACGTAAGACTCCGCCTCCTCCTCTTCTCCCAACGAAAAATTAGCGACCCACTCGCTTATCTTCTTCTCAATCTCATCATCTATATCCCTCTTCATCGTGCCACCACTGCTCCCTTCTCCACTCTCAATTCTCATCCGCTCTTTTTCTTCTTCTGCTGTCGCTTCTTCTTCAACAACCTTCTTCTTTTTCTCCATCTCCTCCTCCAATTCCTTCATCTTCGCCGGCTGCTTGTCTGCGATAGCCTTTAGCTTCGCTTGCTTCTCGCGCTCTTTTCTCTCCCTGTTCTCTTTAACTAAGGTGACCATCTTCTCTTGCTGCTCAGGGGTGTATGGGCTAGTACTCTTCCCACTACGTAACTCCACCATGGTGATAGGTGCACAATCGGAATGATTCCACTCCTCACCACGTAGGCACTAACCCCTGACTGACAAACCTATAGACTCAATCTAAGACTCACAGAATCCGGACAGGGATCCTGCCAACTATGGTCTCTAGCCTGAACCTATGCTATGGCTGTCACTACTAGACCTGTTGCTCATCAGGAGGCATTTAAGGAGATCCCCCGTAACTCCGCAAGAATTCTTTAACGTCGCAGACAGGACGACGTAATCAGCTTGGTCTGGCCTGTCGCATCAGCCCACAACTCAGCCTTTCGGGCCTACCATGCCACACCGAGCAACCCGCCGGTCAATACCGGTCCTTCGGAGGGTTTGACCTCCGGGATAGTCGAGTCGTCAGACACGGCCTTTAGACTTACTAGGTCCGGTAGGGGTTTGGGTCAACAAGGCCCTCAACACTTAAGACTGCGTGGTGCGTCAACCCACAACTCCGCCGTTCAAGCCCACCGTGTCATGCCCAATCCGAGCCCCGCCGGTCAGCACCGGTCCTTGGGAGGGTTAGGACTCAGGGACAGTGAGATTAGACACGGTATCAGCTCTACTAAGTCAGGTAGGGGTTTCGTCATCCAGGCTCTATCCTTCATCCACAGAGTACTATCACCTAGGACAGAAGAGACTCGATGCGGAAAGAATAGACAAACAGACTGGACTCAGCAAGTATCAAGGGGTGTGTGCATCCATAGGGCAAGGGATAGGCTGAGGGCTTGGCGAGATGTTACCAACTCCAGCTTGGTCAAAGTCTTGGTCAACGCCGGTCAACGCTACGGTCAACCCTCGGTCAACCCCCAGTCAACTCCGGTAACCGCCGGTCAACACCTCCAGTCAACCCTCTTGGTCAACCCTCCGGTCAGCTATGGCTGCCGGCTCTTCTTCCTCGCCAATCCTCTTCTTCTTCTTCACCTTCCTCGCCTCCTTTC